TTCAGGGCAGGGTCATGCCTGTGTTACCCAGGCCTTGGAATCTGTGATGGGAAGGGGCGCTCCCGACTCACCAAGCCCAGGCCAGAATGGAGCTGACCCCGTACCTCACGCTAGAGCGTCTATCGGATCGTAGGCGCCAGCAGAGGCTGAAGTGGAACAGCTGGAGAGTCCCGCTAGCCCGAGCCCTCATTGGTTGGAAATCCCCAAGCCCAAGTCCTGGCCTTTCACCAGCGCTGACGGGTGGGAGCTGAGACTTCCTGTGGAGTTGGCCAGACGGTGTCCCCTGCTCGGCGTGCGTTGATGGGTGTGGAACCGATTCCCTTTAGCTTCGGATGGTTTTATAGCCCTCCCCCGGAATAAAGAACGATGCCGGTTTCTTGGCTAGCGCTTTCTCTCAGTAGAGCTCTAACCCCTCACCATCTTTCAATGCATTATTACCCTCATTATACAGATGGGAAACTGAGGCACGGAGAAACCTAGTGACTTGGCCAAGGTCACAGAGGAAGTCCATGGTAGAGCAGGGAACCCAATCCACCTCTTCCCGCGCCCTCCCCCCTGGACCCGCCTTCCCGCTCAGAGGGGCGGCTGGAGATCTCTCCCCCAAGACCAGACCACAGGACTGCCGACATTGGAACTCAGCCAGGTGCCAGTTGTCACCCGCAGCGGGCGATCTCGGGACATGACCAGCGGCCGGGCGTTTCCAAGCGTTTCGCGTTGCAGCCGGAGTGGTCCTGCAACGTCGGAGGAAGGCAGAGCGAGAACCGAGGGCTGGAAGTTAAAGCCAGACAAACTCCAATCGGAAACGAGGCACTGGATTTTTCACCAGTGGCAAAGCGGTGGGGTCTCCATCTTTTCCGGATTCCGAGCCAGACTGGCCGCCCTTCCGGGAGATGATTTAGTCCAACGGGAGATATTGGGCCCAACGCAGGGGGAAGTGGGCGGCGTTCTCCAGCCTGGGTGGCACAGCAGGTCAGACGAGAGGATCTAAATGTCCCTTCTTAGAATCTGTGGGTGATGGCTCCCCGCTCTGGGGTGGCTTGTGGGATTCGTGTCTAGGCCACGCTGCAGCCCCGTCACCCCATTCGTCAGCCCCAGATTGGTGGGGGGGGCACCGATCAGATCAGCGGTTTGTCGTCAGATGGATCCTCAGTTCCGTCGCCAGCAGCCTCAGCCCTCTGCCTATCCTTCCGGGCGATGTTCCCACCCACGCCCCCGCCCACGCCCCCACCCACGCAGATCCCGGCTGCGGTACCTGCCCCAACCCCAATGGCCAGCACCTCGGCCACGGCGAGCGCCCCAGCCGCCTCGGCAGCGAGGACAGCACCGGCGATCCCGGCACCGGCAGCTCCGCCCACCGGTCCCAGGGCCAGCGCCCCTGCGCCCACACCTGCCCAAATGGCGAATTTCTTGAAGCGCTTCCCGTAGATCTCCAGGAAGGTCTCAGCCTCCCGCGTCAGCTCCTCCTCCAGCTCCGTCAGTCGGGCCTCTGTCTCCGGCGCCGGCTCCGGCATGTCCGTCCGGCACCGCCACAGCAACTGCCCGCGCCGCTCCGCCAACAACTTCGCCATCTTGCTCGGCCGCACCTTCAGGCAGGTGATTGGGTTCTGGGAGTTGCAGTCCTGCGCCCGCCGGGAGAGGAGACGGCCAAGAGCGTAAGAAGGGGCAAGTGCTGCACAGATTCCACCCCCCCGACCGAGATGGCGGCCCCCCCCTCGCGCCGAGCGGGACACAATCCGGGACTGAGATGGGAGCCCCCTTGCACCGGGCCCGGCCCACAAACTCAGTGAGAGACCGTCCCTGCCCCAAAAAGCTCACAGGCTAAAACCCCCAAAGATAGGGTCATTCTCCCCCTTTGCTAGATGGGGAAACTGAGGCCCAGAGAGAGAGACTCAGTGGCTCACCCAGGGGAGTCTGCGGCATTGCAGTGGACAAAACCCAGGAGTTCCTAGTCCTGGTCCAGTCCATTAACCACCTGGACCATCACGCCTCCACTACTGCAGCTGGCCAGAGGGCAAACTTATCTCCCTCCCCCCCGCCCGCCTCACGACTCCAGTGCAGGACTTTGAGCCTCTCATCTCTATAGCCACCCTGGGAGCTGGAGATACGAGATCCCGTCTCCTACCCCCAAGCCCACAGTCAGTCGTGTTCACTGGGATGGTTCCCTGGGGTTCCCCTGGCTTGGACAGAGCCCTCCCCCCCAAACTCACCTTCTCTTTCAGAAAGAGAGCGTGGTCTGCGCTGGCCCTGTCCATGACTCTCTGGTTCTGGAAGGTGATGGCCATCTGCACAGGGAGGACAAGGCTGGGGTCAGCCACAATTTATGGGGCCCCGTCTCCACCTAGCGACTGCTGCTTCCACTGCAGCAACCTCATCTAACAGAGCGATGTCACTAGCCAGTGTGAAACTACAACTCCCATGCACGACCGCGGCAGCTCTGCCTGACGCCAGGCACACAAACTACAAGCCCCATGATGCCCCACAGCCATGGAGTCCCATGATGCACCATCTCCCTCCTCTGTGGTGCATCATGGGAGCTGCAGTCTGACCAGAACTGATTTATGGGGAGAAAGGGGAGCATGCGGAGCCAAGCTCTGGGGGGAAGGGATAGATCAGTGATTTGAGCATTGGCCTGCTAAACCCAGGGTTGTGAGTTCAATCCTTGAGGGGGCCACTTAGGGATCTGGGGCAAAATCAGTACTTGGTCCTGCTAGTGAAGGCAGGAGGCTGGACTCAATGACCTTTCAAGGTCCCTTCCAGTTCTAGGAGATAGAGATTAATGGAGATATCCTAAGCTATAATTCCCATCAGACACCACAGAGGCATTTCCAGATCAAAGTATTTCAGCTTTTGATATTTCAACAGAAACTCAAATTTGTCTGCGGGGGAAAAGAAAAAAAAAACATTTTCCAACAAGCGGTAACACACTCCTGAAATGCAGCCACCTTTGGGGTGGAGCATAGGGGAACACACACAACACTGCAGAGGGATGGCTCACCCAGTGCTGAGATGCAGCCACTTCTGGGGTGGGG